GTCTAATTTCAATCACATAAGATACTTACGTTTACTTCATTAGACTAAGTGAAAAACTTCTGTGGCACACTGTACTTCAAGGTCGTCGAAACCAAAACACAATTATTGCTGTTTTCAGAGAGATTTTCTGTCTCGCAGAATTCTTCAAACGTTTCGAATAATTCCTCATACAGTATTCTTGATTAATTTTTGCAAAAAACTAAAAAGAACTTTTCCGAATCCTACATTTTCCAACATTTTTTCCAATTTTGTAAAATCGCTTCAACATTACAAAGAGCGTTTAGCAGCGACCACCTTCTAAATGAAGTGCATGCGAAAAATGAACCGGTGGATTCCACATGGTGGATTTCGAATCCGTGGCGCTCACTGTTGCATGCCGTTGTTTACCGCGACAACTCCGAGATAACTCATTTGCAAGTTTTGTATCAATGAATAAGTGATTTCGCTGTGCAGGCAACGCATTTGTTGCATGTATATCCGGTAAATCTGTTACACAAACGCTGTGCCTCTCGCTGCGCACACGCAGATTCGTGCCTGAAAATGCCAAAATTTGGATTACTTCAATTTCCAGCTAGCAATTTTCTCAGCCCACTTTGGGTTGAAGTTTTTTCATAAAAAATACAGCTATCCAACAAAAAAAAAAACAATGACAACAGTTTTATCAAAAAATATTTGTTTTTTTTTTTTCAATTTCGAAATGAAACCAAAGTTAGAATTGAAGGGAAAAAAAGAAACTGCAAAAGAACAATTTTTAAGAAAATATTCAAAACCAGAGAAAAAAAGTGAATTAAATTTGTATGTAATAAAAACTTTCAAACACATCCTGCTGGAATAATTATCAATATTTTGACAATATTTTCCTCTAATTCATTCCCACTTCCACATAGTTTTACTTCTATTGTCACCAAGAAGGAGTAAGCATCAGAGATGCAGTTTTGGTTACAGCAGCCGTTGAAGCATTGCTGGTTATGTCAATGGCAGTATCCTGGCCTATATGACACAATGGCAGGAGGAAGTGCATTTATGCTGGAAGCCAAGGGTTCAATTCCTTGAGAGGGACAACCAGTTCTTTTACGATTCTTTCATTTGCTTCAGGATAAACTGGTACCAGTGAAAGCCAGACGGTCGAAACGGCAGGACTTTTTACTATATAACCTTCAGAAGATGAATCCACCAACAATCAGCGTGCCGACGCATGTGATACTACTCAGGAATCAATTCCGCTTATCTTCGCTCTCGCGCAGAGCAAATACAAACGGACCGAAACATTTCTTACCTAC